TGATTAAAAAGAATTGCTTGAAGAAACCAGTTCTTGGCAAAGAATTTGTATCAAACCCAAAAAAGAGAGATAAAGCCTAAAAATATTGCCAGAAACATATAAAATAAAAGATTTTTCTTATGTACAAATTGTGAATGCGTAATTTAAAAAATGTTGTTACCTGTTTCTTCAAAGTTCGTAAATATTTGAAGGTATCGGAAAGTGACAGGAGTCAGGTGTCAAAATGGTTCTTTAAATCTAATTGGCAAATCATACGTATCGAAGTTTACATCGTCAATGTATGTAAAACGTGGATCAAATAATAAATTACAGACAAGTCAAGTGGGCAACAATTTCCGTCAATAGACGCAGTTATTTGCATGTATGTTCGAATTCTATCTATTTCGCCGGCGATATTAAAGAGAATATCGCGCCGAGGGTTGATCAGTGAAGGACGCCAAAATCAGAGAAATCGACGATTTGTCGGATTTAACAATTTCAACAAACAGGACGTTTGGCGATACTTCTTTTGGTAACAGTGTGCTTTCTTCCGCTGTGAAAATCTCTTATCATTTTCATCTCTCCGGTGAGAACCAATACATTTTGCATTATTTATATATTTTAAGCGTTGTAGTCATTTTTCAATGTACTCAAAGGAATTTTGTACTAATTGTAACGTTAGGTGAATATTGCGAAAAGACAACGAGTGACAGTTGTCCGAGACGAAAACAGTTGTAACGTTTCACAGCGAAGGAAACGCAGTGCGTCAGAACGCGATTCGAATATTAAAAAGGTTATCATCCGACGTGATACGCGAGCTGACCCGGGAATCCGAAGAAACAAATGGAAAAAGAAAATCACCGAGTTAACAAACCCAGCTGCATTCCGATAAAGAATCAGGCCGAGGCACGTGACTCACGAGGAAACATCCCGAAACAATACAAACGATACTAAAAACGATATAAATTCAATGAAAACTCGGGATGTACCCTTATTAGTAGTTTAGAATTCAAAGCTAGTGATAAACCAAGATTCGTTTTAAATAACTAGATCTTGATCTTATTATAGGCATTGGAATAAAATATTTTCGAAGTATTTAAGGAGTAATGCCACTCTCTGCTAGAGTAACATTACCCCTTTATTGTACTTATAATTTGAAAGTATAACGGTGGCATAAAAGAATTCTTTCAGCGCGCAGAAGTGAAAGAACAGAGTGACGAAAACAGCATACAAGAAGATAAACATTTTAGGATCGGCGCAGCGATGCAAAAAGAAATCAAATGCGAGGACGCGACGAACGAGGACGAAGAATTATTAACATCGCATGAGAACGCGATACTCGCACTCTGTGCCATTTGTCATCTCACTCTCGGGAACATAAACTCTAATCTTAATCAAAATGTCTTTTGTTCCAAAGGGCATGCTTTGTGTCAACGCTGCACGCAGCGGTTCGCAATTCAATCAGGTTAATTAACAAACTCTCTTCGGAATGATGTTTTTTATTGCGCAAAATTCTCGTCTCCGAAAAGACACATGAAACGTGATAACTAGACCTTTTTTCGCTCAGTGAATATTCCGTTAAATTTAAATTAAATAGAATCATCATTTTGATCGAGTGGACGTGATCGCATTTTAGCAGATCCTGGTTGCATACTATGTCACGCGCAGCATCAACAGTCCTGTACGAATTTGTCGCGAGACAGCAACGTCAGTTTGAATTCCTCGTACGGGCGATCGAAGAAGCAGCAGCAGCAAATGCCGCGGCCACAATCGGAATGTCAACCGAGGCATCATCAACGGCCGCAGCAATGCGCTCCTACCAACTTCGAACAATCCTATAATAAATGTTGGAATCAAAATTACTACTCCATGATACCAAATACCGAAAGAAACACGATCGGATATTACAATGACGACTTCGAGGAGACTCTGGACTATGAACAGATCAGGGAACAGCAGAACGTTCGTGAGGAACGTAAGGACAGCGGCGGCAAGCAGAGGCAGAGCTGTTGTAATTTATACAAAAAGGGAAATAGGGATTTGTACGAAGCGAAAGTCAACGGACAAATTACCGCAGAATGTTCTCGCAGACCGATCCGATGTCCGCGAATCGACTGCGCGATCAACGTAGCGTTTTCAGCATTAACGCATCATTTTATCTTCGATCACCCGGAGGTGCCTATTCTAAACGTCGAGCCGGGTATAAAGAGCACACTGATTATAAGTTTCAGTGCACTGTCTTCCGGTTCCAGTCGATGTCTAGCCCTCCTTCTAGTTTCCGGTAAACTCTCGTGAGTATATACTAAATATAATGTACTTTAAGTACGTATTCGAAAGAGGAAATTTGCTACTGAGGATGTAGCTCATTGTCCATAGTAAAGGACTTTGGTCGTACTGAATAATCGCTATAATCAATTAATGATCTTCACAACAAGAGAACCTGTTGCAAGATTATTTAACGGCAGTCAGATCAACCCGAAGTACCGAAATCGTTTACCGTTACCGGTGTTAGCTGCTCGGTTGCATAGCACTGATGAGTACACGTTGAATGAGAAGATTGATAAGCAGAAAAGTTTCGAGGAAAGGGACATAATCATCGCCTGGGTCGCTGGATTGGATATCGGGAATTCGACAGACAAGCTTTTATGCAGTATTCAGGTATATTACGTAACTAAGAAAAAAGTAATGAACAGTTCGTTAAACAAAATGATTAATAGCTATGTACATAGTAAAAGTGATATGTGTGTAATAAGAAAATGGGGCTACTTCCACAACAGGCTGTGGACAAGATAGATAATGAAGGCTTACGTTCCCTAACATACACAGGTCCGGTGAACTCATTAAGAACAGCTCAATGTCCGCGAGACATTTTTTCAACAGGTGATTGTATAGTTTTGCACGAAGGTCTCCTCAGTCACATTACATCAGATTGTGCTACGCTCAATGTTAATGTTACTGTACATTAAATATATTACAAAAGTGTATATGTATATGTGTGTGTATGTATATATATATATATGTATAAAATTAGATTCCAACATTCCCATTAACGGCGTTAATAATAATACCTACACGAAGAAAATTATATTTTTTCTATGCACGTATACAATTGGCAACATCTTTCTCGAATACCTTTCGCGCGAAGGTGCGGATTCACTTGGATCAAATTCTCCTATCATATCATCATTGCACCCCGTTCTTATATACATATGTGAAGTCTTATTAGTACGTTTGGGTGCTTGGCTTATTCTCATATGTCTGTGAGAAAATTCTAATACTTTATAGTTTTATATGCACTCCACAGATGAAATTTTTGTTTAGGCAATTGAAAACTTATGCAGAAGCTCATTGCGTACAAAAATTTTTTTTCATATTTTTCAGATGATAAAAAATTGGCAACTTTAAAGAGTACTTATTTTTCATTAAAATTATTATATGGAACTCATTTACTTGAAGCATTTTATTAGAATTAGTCATGATTTACTGTACGATTTGTTACATAACTATTACAATATTCCAACTGAAATAGTTCCTGATGATTATTAATTTGGAGTAATTGTTATTTCACGGAATCTCAGAAATAACATTATGATGTAACGCTTACCCGTTCCTAATGATACGCAACAGTGATACGATGTGAGAGCACGACACAAGTGGACGAGCACCTTAATCTACGTAATAGCGTGCTATTGTTTGAATATATGCATAACGTATGAGGTGAAGTAGAAAATTATGTCGTTATAAGCTCGTCATAGCTGGAGGCCGAGCGTATGCTTTTGGAATGAATCCATATTTTCGAGTCTTAGGCGCGTACGCCCATAGCCAGCCGTCTACGGTCTGATTTCCTAAATCCGCGTATATCCAGTCCGCTCTCTTTACAGATAAATCATCCGGCGCCTGCGCCTTATAGTCATAAAGTACAACTAATTCCGTGCCGTTCGTCTCATCCCGAAAATCTCGTAAACCTTTCTGCTGCAGTGACTCGTTCCCTGGCACATTGCTACTTCCTTTTCCTAGAATCATATTTCGCAATAAATCAACAGTAGCCAAATTCTTGGCGCGCATTCCCTTCCGATGTACCGTATAATTAGCGGTATCGAAAATTCCGAATTCCTGCCAGCGTTATTAAGAGGTAACACCACTCTGGCGCCCGAAAAAATTTCCTGTACTTCACGGTTCATATCGGAACGTAACAAATACGATACTAAAGTGACATTACAGTTATCCGAAACGATTCTCGACCCATTTAGCACGCACCATGCAATTGATCGAGAATCGTTTTGGATAGCTGTACATCTTAATTTGAATTTGAAACAGATGAAGACCAACCTAAGCTATGCGTTTCCGTGGACGTCGTAGCCGCGGTAGTGGTGGTGGTGGTCGTAGTATTCGTTGTTGCATATGAATGAAGGACATGCCCCGGGTAAACAAAGCCAGATGGCACGAATCCCTCGTTACCATCGCAATGTCTAAGTACCCAAAACCAGTCAGGATCGTCTCGATTTAATACGGTTACAAATTCGCCTCTTTCAACGCTAACGTCGTTCTCATCTCTAGCCACAAAAGTATAAAGTACAATGTACCTCCCAGCTGATGGATCCTACATCATACAGATATACATAAATATACAAATTCTGTTATCTCTTATAATTAAACTGCGGGCTCTTTATGCAAAATAAAACTCTAATTTAAAAAATTTCAGACTTAAAAAATCAAATGTAAATCGCGGTCTGTTGGTTTTAAATACTCGTGCATACGTATAATGGATATTATTGTAGATTAAATGGATTTTTCATATATTCTTTCACGCGAATGTTTTCTGTGAATGCATAAAATCCGTAATATAAGTTATAATGTCTAAATAGAAATATATGTACCTTAAAGAAAGGGTGCACATCTGGCTGAGAGGATATAGTTTGTATAGAATTTTGAGACTGTGTGATATTAGATCTATTAACGTTTACATCGGCAGTAGTGACGTTACGAGCATAACTTTCACAGTCGGACGCCGAGCCAGTGTCGGTTTGCTGTGCGTCTACTGTTTGAGAACGACCTGTACCAGCAAAATCGCAATCAGTCTCGTTAGATCTGGGCAATTTTTTTTTCACATTGTTCATAAGACTAGCAAGAGTTAATTCAGCAAGCTGAGACGTGTAAGGTGCACAATATGAATGTGGTACAAAGCCTTCCATACGTGTATCAGCTGCTATTACATACACCCAATCATTCTCTCTATATAAAACATTTACAACCTAGAACATGCAAAAATCAGAACAAAATAATACGAACAAAAGACAAGTTTTTTTTAATTTCAACGTGCCAGAACACAATATTTAAATGAATAAACAATTATTTTACACAATATTTACATATGCAGGGTGGAGCACATAATTGGAACCAGTTCCATTTCTTCTAAAGTGACAGCTTTATAAAAATTTTTCAAATAAAAGTTATATGATATGAAGGGGGTTATAATTCAACATGATTAGTTCTCTTTTTATTCAGTTATTATCTATAAGGCTCGTCACAAAGAATTTAATTTCTTTCAATAGTTCTTTGATACAAATAAATTGACACTTTTTTATTGAGAATGACAAGATGGATCAAATTGTGTAATAAGAAATGCATGGTTCAATATAAAAAAAAGCAATACTTCACATATACCCCTTGACATCATACAACTTTTATTTGAAAGATTTTTTATAAAACTATTACTTTAGAAGAGATCGAACTGGTTTTAGTTATGTGCCCCACCCCGTATAATGTGGACTCAAAATGTAGATATTTGTATACACAAAGGATAGAAGTAATTAGAACAAAATAACAAGCGAAGTTATTTACATACATTGAAATTTCATTTAACAAGGCAACTTACCTGGCCACGTTTCACTTGAAGCTCGTCATCGACACAGGGTGTAAAGTCATGAACAATCACCATTTTGCTGTCTGGCGAAAGTCCATTCTCTTTTTCTATACCAACTCTGACTAATGTTTCAATGCTAGCGCTTCCTGTTATACGACCAGGAGGCAATGGCACTTTCGTGCCTAGACCAAGCCCTGCACCTCCTGTTCCAGCACAATCCTTCTCCAAATTAAAATTATGCACCCCAGCTGCATCATAGAAATCATAGTATATTATTGTTACGCTTGCTTCATGTAATTATCAGTTTTAATGAGTCTATACAAATTTCATTTTCTCTGCTCTTTAATACTTCAAAACAATACAGCTCTTTTATGATTGAAGCATTACATATTTTATGTTTATCCTACAAAATGATATATTTTCAATATCTAACAATTGAACATTTTTAATTGTAATTTTAACTGAGAAGAAATATTCAAATAGAAATTTTTCCAATGAAATATTTTGAAAATTCTACGAGAACAACGAAATCCGAATAAGAAAGAAATTGAACTGTATCGCATCGGAATAACTGTTAACACGAACTAAAATTGACTTCGGGAATCTGTCGAATAAAATTGTACAGTATATATTCGTTCGTACTCACGTTTCTTTTTCTTTCCACGACGTATGCGAACCGGACACAGAAAAGCCATCCTGTTTCGTTTTAAAGTTTGCTCAAAATCACATTTCCAGAACAAATATCGTCGAGTAGCAGAACATTACCGAGGCAAGACATAACAGACAGGGGTAAGCATATTAAGCATTCCCAGTAAAAATGTGTAACAAGCGTTCGAGCATTTGAGATATCCTTCGAACTCGACAAGCCGTACCTCGGTATTTTCACTATCCACGAAACTGAATACGCCGAGGACGTAACGGTAAAAATCTCGAGTCAGAAACCCAATTAGTCCTTCTTTTCCTCTTTCTCCCAGTCCCGAAGGATATATCAGATGAAACTGGAATTTAGATAGCACACTTGTAGTCGTGAATGCAACAGGTAGACGGCGCTTCGCCGATATCCTGTCGCGGCTAAAAAATTATGTCAACGAAAGGTATTCGTTCGCGGCGTTAAAAGTTCACCGAAATATTTCATTAAATTAACTGTGTCGCTGGTACGTTAAGCAAGTAATATAATTACATATGCAAATATTTCTTTTTGTCGTGCCGTTCCAACGTGTGATGATTGTTTACAAAACTTCTTTCTAATAAGAAAGGATGAAATGGTGGTAATAATTTCAGATTTAAGTAATTGTGTTAAACAAACAAGAATTAATTAGATTGTATTTTTTATCTACATAAAAATAAAATAATTCAATAGGTAAAGATGTATAGTATAAAGTAAACGTTATCTAGAATACTGTAGTTTTTATAACACTTCACGACATTAGAAAAAAATACTTAACAAATAGAATACAAGCAATAAAATGAATCTTATTTAATCGAAACGTTGTTTATTATCTCAATTAATATAAATGACGATAATAGCCTTATCTATAACAGTTTCCCCTCATATACATTTAACAATGAGTATTTTTTTGGAAAATAATTATATGTACATTTACTCTACAATTATGCGAAAAATCAAACCACTACTGGAGCTACTTAATTAATATATTCATACTGTTAAATATCGATCCATCAGAATATGGAATTCGTCGTTCGAATATAGAAATTCGATCATACAAAAATTCTGGATAACGTTCAAGTGATTAGAAAATTGTATATCGTTAAATCTTTCTTTCATTTTTTCGATAATAATATTATTCAAAAGCTGAACGCTATATAAGTACGTTATCAGGGACATGGCCTTACGTACGTAGTAAAGATTCTGATAGTAAAACGTTTTCGAAATTCTTACAGTTATAAGAGAATTTAGAATATTGGAAATTGGTATCCATATATTCTAACTTTTTCACTTCTTTTCTCTCTTATTCTTTTTTGTAAAATATACAAAATTCAAATGAAACGTAAAATTTTGTACTTTCATATTGCACTTGTTTTATATTATATATGTATTCAATGACGCATTTCGTTCCTTAAGGATAATAATCTATTATTTAATTACGTAAGTGTATGAAACACACTTATATTCTATATCTATTATGCCATCTATCCAAGATTAAATCACAGTGAGGAGCGGAATTAAATCGATAAAAATTTTGTATAAACCGATCGATTTATTCACAAGCTACGACGATTGAGAAAAAAAAGCGTATTAATAATTGATAAGATTAATGCGGTAGTTGTTCCTCGGTCGGCAATACGTAAATAAAACGATCATTCTTCCGAAGACTTTTATTGGTCTAATCTCACTCGTCACCGCGTACGTTTCAGAAAATAAACTATTGACAACGTGCCCGAGGTATGCAATTTACGTTTCAATTTCAGCGTAGTTCCCTGGCATAATTACGCGTACCACGTCCCCGGTAAATACAAAATATCCTCATTAATTCAACCGGCCCGATTTCAATTCGCTCGAATTAAAATTATTTAAAATACGGTTCAAGTTTTAACTAAAAATCAGTGTTGTTTGGTGCAAGCTGCAGCTTCGAGGGATTTGAAATCGGTAATTCGGTTAATGATGCAAACACGGATCATCAACGACCCCGTTAAAATAGCCAAGAGAGTCTTGCGTTTATCTCATCGACCGAAACGAATCCGCGAGTCATCGTCTCCCTCCGAGATGCGTTCTAATCGAAGTCAGCCTAAAATAAAACATTCCAATACGTGTCATATGAGAGAGAATGTGCATATACTACTTACATACTTTATCAAGACCAATAAACACACTATACGTAGTTATTTACTATGAATGTCGTCCACGAGGCAACATTCTATGCATAAATTCTATCTTATAATAATCGTATGTCGCCTAAAGCTAGGAAATCATTTTCAGCGAATAATGACGATCTCTTTATTGCATTCGAATATTTATCATAATGAGCGCGTCGTCTATATCACTCAATAGTTTATTTTCTTCGAATTCCGATTCACGTATGTACTGTGTGTAAAAGATGAAAACAGTAAGTCAATATGTACAACTCGTTCGATTGGTATTTCACATACTCTAATGTCTAACATGAGCACAAATTCCTAATATAGCCTAACGTGTGAAATTTCAAAATCGAACGAGTCGTTGGACGAGCATTAAAGTTGTATGAACCCTTAAATAAAAATCATGACAAAGCATTCAAGTTTCGACAGTTAGATGAGATACGAGATTAATAAATTGTGGAAAATTGTAAAAAGTTTGCGGGGCTATTAAAAAAGTTATTACATCTTGAATCCTTATGATCCTGTTGAAAATGGCAAAATGTTGATTTCATTTATAAAAAAACATAGATGTAATAATGACAGTCCTTTGTAATTTTGTACAACTATTAATACATGTTTTAATATTTTAAAGTTGAAATAATATCAACTTCGAGGATATTATTTAAGACGCGAAATAAGACGTAATAAAGAAGAAAGTGAAAATTGTAGGATTTGAAAACCAGTTGCAAATTAGATATTATATTGAAGTATTAGAAATTATTCGTTAGCAATTCCATTTCTGTAAATGTAATTTTTCTTAAAATATTGGACAGCTTTTAAAATCACATTTCTCAAACTTTTGGTGGAGATCTTAAGGCTCACACAACCTTAATGTACGCATAACGAATACGCGTATATACATACATTGTATTTAAACGTACATGTACGTATATACGTATATAATAATGCAATAATTATATGTACTAAATACAGCTACACTTTTCATCTGACTCGTTTCCTTCTCCATTTTCCATATAGTTGAACTAAATATCCAGTTAACAATAACGATGACTCTTATTTACGAGAACACTCGATAACATCCGATTTTTATAAACCATCCTACTGATCAATTAAAGAGAGAGCCGTTCAGCAAATAGAATAATATTTATTCGAACGAACGAAATCCACATCCGAAACGTTGCGTCTTATATATCGTAAACGTGAATAAAGTCGATCAATATGCATCGCATATTACACGTTTTATTTGTTTCGTTTCCTATTTCAACTCAAAATACATTATCTATTCGACAAATTAAAATTACATTCTTTAGTCATGGCAGTTACATGATTTTTTTTTATATATCGAAAGTTTCATACGCAGATCTCGAGAAGTATATAATGTATGTATGTATATATGTATGTATATTCGAAAAACCGAGTCTGTATGCTCACTTCGTACAAGTACTGTTCACGAGACATATTCTAGATATCTATAATAAAACTGAGTGTACGAAAAGAAAAGAAAATTATAAATTATTACAGTTTTCACCTTAGGTGGGATGCTTATTAATATTATTACAACAATATAATGTACCATACATATGATTCATGTATTTATAATATATATATACTATGCGTATATATATATATATATATATCTCGACCAAATGTGTTATATAGAGTATAATAATGAATGCGTTTATATACTACATAATCAATTATATATTATATACGTTTATCGATTTCCTTCCCTCTTTAAACGGATTGCTTTCGGTATTCACGATTTATACTTACGTCGTTTCGTTAAAAAGCGAGCGGTTACGAATAAGAAAATTGAAAATGGGGAAATTTCATTTATGCCTTGTGCTTCGTCATGATACAAGAATTTACTGGCACTCTTGTTAAATGTTAGAAAAAATGTATATGATTAAGAGATCCTTGAAGCAGTCTCGAAATATGTGTATATGTATAGTTCAAATACACAAATATATAATTACGGTTCCATCTTGCTATATCATATGTAAATATCGGATAAGATTCGTGTCATATCGTTCTACCACGTGTCTGATACAAAAAGCTTTACAAGCTTATAAAACAATCTTCTCATTTAAGGGACTTCGATCGATAATAGAATTAACAATCAGATTTTGATGAACTTTGGTATCTGCTAATTTAAGCTTTTAAAAGGAAGAGATCACATTCTTAGAGACTGAGGATACCTCAGAAGCTATTAAAAATTTTAATTCTGCATATTTTACATTGCGGCTGACGAGAAATGTTGCTGCATTGACGTAATTCATTTATTTGGACTCTCGTAGCTATTGAAAAATTATTTTCAAGTAACACGTTTTCAATAGATACTTGGGTTTTATTATGAACATGTCTAGCAATATCTGATTGTCAAGTGCTTTACACTATGTGAATAGTGTTAGTTTCTCATGAGATACAATGTAAAATATGTAAAAATGAAATGTATAATAATTTTTTCCTTACGTACCTTCGGTCTTAAAAAATTTAACCATGTCTCTTCAGAAGCTTTATCTAGTAATATACCAAATTTTATCAAACTCTGATTATTAATTCTATTATTGATAGAGTACCCTTAAAGGGGTGTTCTGGATTTTATTGTAGTACGTAATTCTTCTTAAGAGGACTATTAATCTTCTTTCATTAAGTTCTGGAAAATATCCATAAACGTATCTTCAAAACTTGATGCAGAAAGTTTAATAGTTCTATAAAAATTCCTGAAGATTAAATTCAAAACCAGGTTACCTCCTAAATACATTTAACTTGTACGAAATATTTTACACATTTCAAGTTATAAGATAGTCTTAAAAAAAAGAAAACAAAGTCATGTTCTTTTCTTAATAACTTAATAACAAACGTATCAAATTGCTTTTTCAATTCGAATGCAAGGAATCGAAATATTTAAATTATGCTAATTTCACATATTGCGAGATAGAAGCAAGCAAAACGATGAGAGAAAAAAGTATCAGAAAGTTAGGGGCTATGCAAACAATAAGATTTTCAAAAAGTGTGTCGAAGACATATATAAATATAAATATATATTACATAAATATTTATATATATTTATATCTTTATATTTCTATATGCTTTTTTCTCCTTAACTCCTTAGATATCTAGTGCGTATGTAGGTATATCTCTAAATCAGTGTTGGATTTCGTAACCATGTCTAATAAAAATCTTTTCACTGAATACACACGTTCTAATAATAATTAGCCGAAAAAGAAAACGTTCGTAAAAAAAATTGGCGTTGCGTCTCGGAATCCTCTATATAAATATTCGACCCTATCCCTCCATAAAAATTGATTTTCTTCTGATCGTGTACAAATATTTTTAATAAATCACATTAAAAAATTTTCGGAACCCCATAGGGTCAGGCTTATTTTTTCTTCTTTTAGTGTTACATAATATAACTAAAATGATATGTTGATATAACGTCGCAAATAAATATAAATGCCAAAAAGATTGCTACAGCAGTTTCATTTGCTTTATATTTTTTTACTAAAACTTAAAAGGTTGATAATAATAAGATATTACATATAGTAAAAAAGAACAAAAAAGTACATAATATAACGT